GCTTTGGACCAGGGCAGGCACTGCAATAATCTTATTTATCTAGTCCATCCTCTTCATCTGTGCTTGTGTATCAGCAGCCATAGGTAAGTATTTAAATTGAAAGTAATTAAAATTAAATGTAATTTAAAATTCCATTTCTTGGTCCCACTAGCTACATTTTGCAGGCTCAATGGCATTTAAGCTCAACGTTCTATATCAGCGTTTCTCCACCTTTTTTTTCACTATTACTTCCCCAAGAGAAGACTGATACTTCTTCCTCTGGTTGCTACCCCATGAAATTTTAATAACACAGATGTACTATATCTCTGAATATGTACTATCTGTATACCTGTACTTCAAACATAAAACCAGCAGGATTTCCCACCCCACCTCCAACTAGGAACCAATATTTCCCCCTAGGAGGCAGTATGGCTCCCATAGAGAATCATGTGTCATATGAACAAGGGCCAAGATTAAGGTGAGGCACCTAAGATTCAAAATTTAAGGAGGCAGGGCTTCTGGCTGGCTCAGCCAGTGGAGTATATGACTTCACTCAGTGTTGTGTTTGAGCCCCCACTGGGTATAGGGATTACTTAAAAATTTAAAAATAAAATCTTTTACATATATATATATATATATATATATATATAGGCCTTACATATATATATATGTAAGATTTACATATAAAATAAATAAATAAAATAAAAATAAATAAAAATAAATAAATATTAAAATAAATAAATAAATAGAATAAAAATAAATAAAAAGATTTTATTTTTAAGTATATATATATATATATATATATATATATATATATATACACACACACACCCAGGCACTACATATAAATATATGTATATATATAGTGTAGTTGGTTGGGCATTGTACTCTTGGTATCAGCTTAGGTCATGATCTCAGGGTGGTAAGATAGAGCCCTGTGTCAGGCTCCATGCTCAGCACAGAGTCTACTAAAGACTCTCCCTCCTTCTCTCCCTGCCCTTCCTCGCTGCATGCTTGCATGCTCTCTCTAATAAATAAATAAATCATTTAAAATACACACACACACACACACACAATTTTTTTTTTTAATTTAAGGAAGCATTCATTCCCTGGGTGGTGCAAGTGGAGGGTCGGCTTCTGAAAGTAACAGCCTCCTTAAATTTTGCCTCCTACTTGCCTCAGGGGCCTTATCATTTTTCTAGTCCCTATAGGAACATTTCCATCATCATGGAATGTTCTATCAGATTAGAATTTTAGAAAGTTGGAACCAAGAGAGACTTGGAATTGGAGAAAATCCATTTGGAAGAGCTGTAGTTTAGCCCATGAACACATCCAGGCCATAAGTGAGTAGTTCTTGACCCTGGGTGTCCATCAGAATCATCTGATGAGCTTTAAATCTCCTAGTGCCTGGCCCTGCCCCAGGCCAACCAAGTCTGAATCTCTAGGGATGGGCCTGGTGATGGGGCTTTTTCAAGCTCACAGATAATTCTAATGTATAACCTGGGCTGAGACTCTGCTGTGAGTGCAGAAGAAAGAGCTGGCCATATTTAAGGGGAAAGAGAATAGGAGCTTTAATTACTCTGTGGGAATAAGGGATTACGTTGATAAAAGATTTGTAGTGTGAAAAATGTGGAGTAGTGGCATGTCTAGGGAATTTTATGTCATGAGCATTCCATGGTTTGGACCCTGTTTATTATATTAAACACTCTCTGGAGGGTCTGCCTGGACACTATAACTGAACTCCACTGAGATGATAATTAACCCACAGAGGATCCTAGGTCCCATGAAGAATATAGTCTTGTGTTTAATTTATTAACTTCTTTCCTGACCTTTTTCAGCAAATTCTGGGGCCAATGCCAAAGATACATTTTTAAAGGGCTCTCGTTAAATCTGATGGTCACTTTTCATTGGGTCCAGATAAACAGCATGGAGAAATTGCAGTGACTGAAGTCATGGGTTGAATTTTTATCTCCTCTGATAGGTAACCAAAACAATACCACCCTTGGTTGTCCCAGGTCTCATTGTCAAATTAACTCCAGTTTGAAGGAGTTAATGCAGTTTGAAGGAGTTACTATGCAAGAGGGTATTTGAATTCTAAGTACCACCAAACATCACCTTCACCACAGGCCCACCTCCAACACACAGTCATGCACACACATCTCAGAAGGATGAGTTTTATGCACTAAGACCTGGGTAGTACAAGCGCCAGGCTATTGTGGGGTGATATGAAGAAGAGAGAAGTGAGAAGCACTAGCATTCACTTGGAATTTTCTCTTCTCTTTGGTTCCTTATTTATGGATCCCAATCTTGGTTTATTTCTCTGTGATCCAGGTTACTAGTAGGTTAGGAAAGGACTCCAAGTCCTCTCCTAAGTAGAGGACCAAGGGGATCCAAAGTGGGACAGAGGAAAAGAAGTCCTGAAGTAGGTTATTTAGACAAATGGTATGCTCTAGGCTCACAGGCCTATCAGCCTAACTCAACAAAGCAATTTCAATTGGAGTCTTTGGCAAAAACTCTCATTGTAATAATAAATAATTCCCCAGAAAATTTTCATCTATGTCTGCAGGGAGTGGGGAGGCTAACCAAGTAGGATAGTCGAGGATTTGGATAGAGGTTCATTTTCCAGCTTTCTCTTAATCATCTCCTCAGATAAAGTACAGGTATCGGTGGCCTTGTATGCCTTAGCTTAGAGGGGGTTGTCAAGGAAACTAAGAATTTGAACATTTACACACTTCCCCCAGCTCTCCCCAAAATCTGTTGTTCCTACTGTGTTCCCTAATTAAATGAAGGCGATCTTCATCGACCCCATCACCTAAGTTCAAAATCTTAAGTCATCATAGACAATTTCCTTTCTATCGGATGCTTTAAGGTCTCTTGATTTTCACTCTTAAACACCTCCACCTTAAAACAGACAAACAAACAAAACAAAACAAAAACTGTAAAATGCCTCTCTTTTATCTATTACTGCCATATTACTTCTGGCCACCGTCATCGCTCTTCCACACTTACAACAGTCTGTTTTATTTAATCTTTAGTGTTATAATTAGTGTTAACTGCATAAAATATGAATATATTATCATTCTTTAAAAATTCAAACAATACAGATAATCAAAAATTCAAGATGTAACCATGGTAATCAGTCGGGAGTGTTTTGTGTATTTTCTATGCATATCTACACAGAAAAAAAAAACTTACTATTTTTTGTATGTTGTGTTTTTTTTAAAACATGAATGGTGCCATAAATGGTTTTGCTACTTCCTTTTTTCACTTAACAATATGTCTTGGAGATTTTCCATGTCGGTATATACAGAACTACCTAATTTGGGCTGCTACATAGTATTCTGTGGTGGGTTAGGCTTCCTCTAAGATAACTCCTTTCCTGGTTTCACAGCTTTCTATAATCCCCTCTGTGATCATTGTGATTAATAGCAAGAAATATATATTTGGCCTTTGTCCTGATTCCTGGCACAAAGCTCCTAAAATCCTTGGAATTTCCTGTGATGACAGTAATCAAGGTGTCTTTTGTTATATTAATGATGTGACTTTGGGAAAGGATTCAAGAATGGGGGCTGGTTGCCCAGTGTAGCCAACCATGTGATTAGAGGATTAGAAGTTTCCATCTTACCCCTGCAACCCCAGCCTCTTACCCTCCACCTGTGGCCTTCTGAGAGGGAAGAGGGGCTGGAAGTTGAATTAATCACCAACGACCAATCACCAACGACCAATCAGTCATGGCAATGTAATTAAGCTTCCATAAAAACTCAAAAGGAGGGGCTGAGTCTGTTAAGCCTTTAGCTCAGGTCATGATCTCAGGGTCCTGGGATCAAGCTCCAGATTGAGTTCCCTGTTCAGTGGGGAGTCAGCTTCTCCCTCTGCTCCTCCCCCTACTTGTGCTCTTTCTCTCTGAAATATATAAATAAATCTTAAAAAAAAAAAAAAAAAAAACTCAAAAGGACAGGATCTGGAGAGCTTCTGGGTTGGTGAACACATGGAGGTGCTGGGAGGGTGACACACCCAGAGAGGTCATGGGAGCTCCTTACTCCTTCCCACATACCTTGCCCTGTGCTTCTCTTCCATCTGGCTCTTCCTGAGTTACATTCTTTTATAATAAACTGGTGATCGAGTACATAATATGTTCCTGAGCTCTATGAGCCACTCTAGCAAACTAATCAAACCCAAGCAGGGATTGGTGAGAAACCTCTCCTCTATAGCCAGTCAGTCAGAAGCATAGGTAACTTGCTGGACTTGTGGTTGGCTTTCTGAAGGTGTGAGGTTGGGGGCAATGGTGTAGAACTGAGCCTTTAACTTGTGGGATCTGATGCTACCTCCAGGTAGATTGTGTCAGAATTGAATTGAGTTGAATGGTAGGACAGTCAACTAGCAATGGGGAATTCCTTGGTGGTTTTGGAAAACCCACACATAAGAGTTGGTGTCAGAATCATACCCTCACTTTGAGTAACGTGTTTCTGTCCAACAGGACATGACAATGTCGAAGCAATGTCACTTCCGAGATTATGTTATAAGGGATTATGACTTCCATCTCGCTAGGTGACTCTGTCGTCTGCTGGCTTTGATGAAGTAAGTTGCCATGTTGGAGAAACTCACATAGATAAGAATAGGTGCCAAGGACCTGAATCCTGCCAATGATCATGTAAATTCGTTTAGGAATGTATCCTTCCCCAGTTGGCTCTTCTGATAAAACTCTAGCCCTGGCTAACATCTTGATTGCAACTTCTAGGAAATCATAAAGCAGAGTATGAGGTTAGCCTGTGCCTACAATCCTGACCCACAAACACTGTAAGATGATAAATGTATATGTTTTAAGCTGCTGAGCTTTGGGGTAATCTATTACACAGCAATAACTAACTAATAGACATGGTATGGATATACCATATTTTACATAACAGTTCATATAGAGTCTTTTAAGTGGGACCCCATCATATAGTCTTTTAAGTGTTTGAATCACTTCAGCTTCTTCCAGAAATACTTTATAAAGCAGAAATCTGATCATGTTATTATTCTACTTCAAAACTTTATGTGATGTGAATAAGGAGGTTCTAGGGAGGTGGCCAACTAGGTAAACATCCCCAAACTCTCCTATTTGCAGTCTGTCCTTGAAGTAACATAAACACCAAAATAAGAGTTCTGATGGAAACTAGGTATGTGAAGTCAGTGGTTGTTCTGAGAGCTCCAGAGGAGAGATGGGTATAGGCCTTCCTTTCTTGGACCAAAGCAAAGATTTTATGACTTCTTGAGAAGAAGAATAGTGGACACGGGGTTCCTGTGGAATGTCCTTGGTGGGGATTGCCCTATCTTGCTGATACCAGTAGACCTGAAATGGAAGTATAATTTGGGTTAATTTTATCTGTTTGAGTGAGTGAAAGAAAACTATCTATCCCCTTTTGGATTCAGACATAGGAGAATATAGCCACCCCATCCCCACAACCCACAATGGAGGTAAAAGCATTTATGGGCTCATTTCCTATCAATCCACACATATATAAAAAGGAATCATTTCAAAATGATAAAGGTTATTTACCAAAAGCCAGCAGTAACTTCAACATTAAGCTGAAATCATTTTCGCCAAAATCATCATTCTTAACACTATTTTAGAGACCTTAACTAATGCAATACATTAATTTTATTTATTTTTATTAATTAAATACTCCATATAAATATTGGAAAAAGAAGAGACAGAAGCTGCATAGTTTTCACCCAATATAATTGTGTATTTAGAGAATCCAGAAAAACTCTACCAAGAACTATTTGAAATAATTACTTTGGTAAGGTAAGTGATTGTAGTTAAATATACAAAAATAAAGTCATCACAATCCCTTATAAGAATGAGGCAGAGTCAAGAGAAGGAGATGTGGTAATGAAGACAGAGGTAGGAATGCGCTAAGGTGCCAAGAGCCAAGGAATGCAGGTGGCCTCTAAAGCAAGAAAAGACAAGGAAATGGATTCTCTCTTAGACTCTCCAGAAGGAGCATAGCCCTGATAGCTGAAGCCCTTGAATTTATTATTTCTTTTTTTCTTAAGATTTTATTTATTTATTAGAGAGAGAGAGAGAGAGAGAGAGAAAGTATTAGCATGGGGAAGTGCAGAGGGAAAAGCAGACTCCCTGCTGAGCAATCCCAGGACCCTGGGATCATGACCTAAGCCAAAGGTAGATATTTAACCTACTGAGCCACCCAAGCACCCTAATTTTGTGATTTCTGACCTCCTAAACTATAAGACAATCAATTTGTGTGGTTTTTAAGCCACTAAATTTATGGTAAGTTGTTATAGCAGCAGTAGAAAACTAATATATCATTTATACTAATGATAAAAGCTATTAAATGCCTATGAAAAAATTATTTATAGAAGGTACATGATTTGTATGAAGAACATTAAACTACTATTGAAGGGCATAATATAAGAGTTAGAAATAAATACTACATTTCTGGGTAAGAAAACCTGACACCTTAAAATGCCAATCCTTCACAAATATATATATATATATATATATACTTGTCAGTTAATATATAACTTTAAGTAAGTTGCAATCAGAATTTCAAGAGAGCTTGTTAGGGGAAAGACAAGGGGAATAAGTGGCTAAAATTGTTCTAAATTTCAAATGTAAAAAACAAGAATCTGAGAATAGTCAGAAAAATAATGAAAAAGTAGAGTGGTAGGATTTACCTTACCAGATGGTAAAATTTATAATAAAGTGATTGAAATAAAAATAGTACCATATACTACATCAAAAGAGAAATGAGGTTTTGATATTGTACCATAATTTTATAAGATGCTAACTTTGAGAGGAGCTGGGTGAACAGAACGTGGGACTCTGTACTATTTTCACATCTAACAGTAAGTAATGACTTTCAAATAAAAACTTCTATTTTAAGATAATACAAATAGGGACACTTGGGTAGCTCAGTCAGTTAAGCATCCAACTCTTGATTTTGGCTCAGGTCCTGATCTCAAGGTCATGGGATACAGTCCTACATCAAGCTCCAAGCTAGAGATTGCTTGAGATTCTCTCTCTCTTCCTCTCCCTCTGCCCCTCCCCCCTCTGCTGGCAGGCATTCTCTCATGCTCTCTCTTTAAAGAAAACAAAAATCACAAATAATAACCTGGGAAGGGAATGGAATCTTTGTGAAACATGTGGGTAAAGATTAACAATTACTAATACTCAAAGAGCTCCTACCAGTTGACAAGAAAAAGACAACTGAATGGGAAAATGAATAGGGAATTGACAGAAGGAAAGAGGCAAGTTGTCAGTAAGCATATGGTAAGATGCTCAGTGTCTATACAAGTCAAGGAAATGCAAATTAAATCAATACAGCCTTTTTATACTCAGTTTATTTGCCAAAATCTACCATTGAAAGTGTGGTACTGTCCAGGTTTGCCTGACAATGTTGAGAAATAGGAATTGCTACAACCTGTTAAAAAGTAATCTGGATACATTTATTAAGATTAAAAATGCAGGGGCACCTGGCTGGTTCAGTCAGTAGAGTGAGCAACTCTTGATCTCAGGGGTTGTGAGTTCCAGTTCCGTGTTGAATGTAGAGACTACTCAAAAGAAAAAAATCTTTAAAAAAATATTGAAGGGTCACCTGGGTGGCTCAGTCGTTAAGTGGCTGACTCTTGATTTTGACTCAGGTCTTGACCTGAGGGTCTTGAGATCAAGTCCCACATCAGGCTCCATGCTGGGTGTGGAGGCTGCTTGAGATTCTCTCTCTCCTTCTCCCTCTGCCCATCTTCCCCACTCTAAAAAAAATAAATAAAAAATGCAAACATCCATTGATATAGATATCCTGTATTTGGGAATCTATTGTTGAAGTGAACCTCAGTATACTCAGATTCATCCTCAAGGAGTCATTACCACAATATTTTTGTAACCGCTAAAAAACAGACAACTTGAATGTGCATCAATAAGAGAATAGTAGAATAAATAAACAGGTTCAATCTAACTTATCTAGAAAAATGTCCCTATACTGTGAAGGGGAAAGAAGCAATTTCCAGAGTCATGATAATAGTACCATCTTTATACCATTTTTGTAATCCACACCAGATCAAATAAGCAAACCAACCAAATCTGCATAAGACTCGATCACTAAGCCACAGCTACCTCCAGTATACAGAGGGCAGAAATCATGATCCTTTTTTAACTTTTTAAAAAAGATTTTATTTATTCATTTAGAGAAGGAGAGTATATGTGTTGGTGCCTGAGTGGGGGGAGAAGCAGAGGGAGGCGAGGAGAAAGAATTTCCAGCAGATTTTCTGTTGAGCACAGAGCCAGATAAGGGGCTCAGTCCCATGACCCTGAGATCATGACCTAAGCTGAAACCAAGAGTCAGGCACTTAACTGACTGAGCCACTCAGACGTCCCATTTTTTAAATTTTTCTGTAATTTTTTGAACTCTTTAAAATAAACATGTATTATTTTAATTCTTAAAAATCTAATAAGGGGCACCTGGGTGGCTCAGTCTGTTGGGTGACCAACTCTTGATCTCAGTTCAGGTCTTGATCTCAAGATTGTGAGTTCAAGTCCCCATTAGGCTCCAATCTGGGCGTGGAGTCAACTTAAAAAAAAAAAAATGAAATAAACATTCTTGATGTCTCCCAATTGCCTGCAGAGGGCAAACTCCTCAATGTCACATGTAAGGCCCCCATGGTCTAGCCCCTGCCTCTTCTATGATCTCATCTCTTTTCGTATTCTTCCCATAGTCAATGTTTCACCATACCAATCTGCAGTGTACTAACTCCTTATGGTTGCCTAAACATGGCACATGTAACTTCTCTCCCAAACCTCACATACTCCTCCTGAAAAGTGACTATTTCTCTTTTCCACCTAGTAAACTCCTACTCATTCTTTAAGACCCAGCTTAAATGACCTCACCCCCATCCTATCTGTACCTCAGTGGCAATATTTGGACTCTGTTGCAATCGTCTGAGTGTATATGTGTGTCATATCTGTGATGTCACCCTTCGTTGTGCTTGGTTGGCATACAGAAAGTTTTTAATGCTGAATGAATTAAAAACTAATCGAAGTGATGTTTTACAACTTCTGTGGTTTTTGACTTGATGATAAGCATCGTTCTGGCTGCATTCTGATGGTTTATGCTTTTGATGCGCCAAGATGGGTACAATACTTTATAACTAGGCTAATACAGTTTGATCAAATATTCTGTCAAAGGCTGAGACACCTGCAATCATAGTTTTCTAAGAGCTATAATTCATTTTTAGCTTGGGCTCAATTCCTGAATAGGGAATAAAATGTGAATGAGAGAATGCAGTTGGGCTGCTGTGAAAGTTCAATCAGTAATCCACTTCCTTTTCTCTCCCCCAGAAGCTGTGTCGTTTCAGTCCTGGGCCTGTATGGGCTCAGCCCCATCAAAGCTCTTCTCTTGCTCTGCTCTGAGTTGCACAAAGGCTGACTCTGAAAGCCTGCTTCTCTAGGCTCTAGTCCCCACTGACTGCCAGCTGAGCTCAGCTGATCGACAACAAGCCCTGGTGGGAAGATTGGAGGTAGGAGTTAGAGGGGAGAAGTCAGGGTATTTGTCTCCCTCTCTGCTTCAATCAACTGCCTTTCTTGCATCTCCTCTGTGCCTCTCTGCCTGTATGGGACACCCCTGCCCTTATGCCTTTTCTTTTGGGTGCTCTGGTTACAGGAGGCTGCAGTTTTTACATTGCCTCCTCCCTTTGTCTTCACAGCCTAAGACAGTAGTGGCTCCCTGCTGCTGCTAATCTCTGGGTTACTTGGAGTGCCAGTTGGCTTTTGTTGTGAAACAAACTATCCCAAATGTAATGATTTAAAACAACCACCATTTATGTGTAGCTCACAATTCATGAGGTAGCAATTTAGACTGGGATCAGCTGGGCAATTCCGCTGGTCTTGGCCAAGCATGCTCAAGCATCTACAGTCAGCTGCCAAGTCAGCAGGGGGCTCTACGCTGGCAGCTGGCTGGCTATCATCTGGGTTGGTGGTGGGTTCATGTGTCTCTCAGCATCCAACAGTCTAGCTCAGGCATATTCGGATGGCAGCTGGTTCCAAGAAAGAGTAGGGAAATAGGAAACGCCTCTTGCGTCTCAAGTTTGGAACTTGTGCAATATTACTTCCTCCCAAAGTCAGGATCTGCCCAGATTCAAGGGGTAAAGAAAGAGACTCCAATTCTTGATGCAAGAGTAAAATGTGCAGCCACACCTTACCATGTTCTCTCCAACATTTGTATAACCAAGTCCTGATATAAATTTCCTCTGTATTAAGTACTGGAAGTCATTACTGTTTCCCTAGTTAGACCCTGTGTGTATGTTTGAATGTGTTTGGGAGATAGGGGTTAAGGAAAACAGGAAATGTCTGTTTCTAACAGGGTCCCTTTGGATTCATATTTTTCTAAATGTCACTTGCCCGGGCTTTTTTTTTTTTTTTTAGAATATGACAATAGGCATGATGCTAAGTACTATATGCCATGCGAGGCAGAGCAGTGCACAAGACATGGTGCCTGCCTTACATGACTTAACATGGAGTGCATGAAGAGCCCACACAGTGGCATGTAGGGTTTGGTTTAGGAGAAGGTAGACCACTGTGATGGTAACTCGGTTCACAACCTAGTGCAGGAGATAAAAAAAAAAACTTTGGTAATGAGGTTTTTTGGTCTATCTCTATAACCTAGAAAGAAAGTTCCATGAAACCTCAGTCACTCATCACTGTCACTGTGTCTCCTCTGTGTCTCCTCTTAACAAAAGACCAGCACATGGTAACTGGTAGATAAATATTTACTGAGTGTAGGAGTGAAAGGTCTTTACACAATACTAACAGAGTGCTGATGAGAAAGAAGGTAATTCTGAGACCAGGGGAAAGCTTCATGAGAACAGATGATTTCTAAAATTTAGACTGAGAATGAGTTGTTAAATTTCGGCCACAGAGAAGGGGACTGGAAGGAAAACCAAAAGGCTAACATGAGCAATGTCAGGAGTGTTGGGGTGCGCTAACTTCCTGGAGAGGAGACAGCTGCTGTAGGGGTCATCCTGGTATGAGCATCACCCCCACGCATACCCTCAAGGCTCATCAGTGCTGTTGCTCTGAGTCCATCGCACTGAGTGTTCTGAAGTAATTTGAGGCCTGAACTACTCAGATTTGGCAAAGGATAACTGCACTGACTTTCAGGCTTCTGTAAAAAGTCCCCCTCAGTATAGCTGGGGGCAGCTCTACGTAGATGGGTACATTGTGAGTTTGGACACACTCTTCCTTGTAGTTTGGGTGTTTTTGAATGCGTGCCCAGAGGCTGCTGCAATAAATCTCTTTTTAGAATCTAGGCAAGCACACAGGGATGGGGGAAAGCCAGAGGCAGTGGAAATGCCTAGGGAAGGGGGGGTGGCAGTTTGGTTGACAGAGGACATCTGGACCAGTAGAAGAGGGATCCTGGCAAGAGTCAGAGCTTTTAGCTCAAAGACCTTCACTCAGCCTGCTTCTCCAGCAGAGAAATAAATCAAATCTTTTTCTTTCTTTCTTTCTTTCTTTCTTTCTTTCTTTCTTTCTTTCTTTCTTTCTTTCTTTCTTTCTTTTTCTTTCTTTCACCCCAGAAAAGGCCAAGAAAAGTCCACATAGGATAGCACAACTCAGCTGGGAGACCCTCCACATAGGCTAGCACAATCCAGCCCCCTGCGGTAGACCCGGCAGGATGTGAGATCATTTAGAGGAATGGAAATGTTAGCGGTCAACAGTTTCAGTTGAAGCCAGTGCTTCAAGTTCAAGGTAATTCAGAGCTTTACGTTCTCAGCCTTGAGGCTTAAACCTTAGACTGATGTTCAACTTCTCTGCCAACTTCATGCTGCCAAACTCTATTCCTTCTTACTAGTGTCCCTAACCTACTGCCCTTTAGGTTTTCTGTAGATTAGAGATTCACAAATTGGGTGGGGTTTCTGGTCTTATGCCAAGAAACTGAAATCAGAGATTGGACTAAATGAGGCTGAAGAATGGTGCAGAGAACAGAGTGGAGTGAGCATGGCTTCACTGACCAACCTTGTTCGGAACATTGGGTGTGGTTGCTTTGGGCATTGCAGGCAGCTCCCCTGGATAGCTCTTTGTTTGTTTGTTTGCTTATTTACATGAAGTGATTTCTTTAAAAAAAAAAAAAAGAAAAAAGATTTTATTTATTCATTTGAGAGAGAGAGAGATCATGAGCAGGGAGGAAGGGTAGAGGGAGAAGCAGACTCCCCACTGAGCAGGGACCCCAATGCAGGACTTGGTCCGATGACCCTAGGATCATGACCTGAGCCAAAGGCAGACGCTTAACCAACTGAGCCACCCAGGAGCCCTACATGAGGTGATTTCTTTTTTTTTTTTAAAGATTTTTTATTTATTTATTCATAGAGACACAGAGAGAATGAGAGGCAGAGACACAGGCAGAGGTAGAAGCAGGCTCCATGCAGAGAGCCCAACATGGGACTCGATACAGGGTCTCCAGGATCACGCCCTGGGCTGCAGGCGGCACTAAACCGCTGCGCCACTGGGGCTGCCCCATGAGGTGATTTCTAAAACAGATTATCATACCTTCCTCTCAGAAGGTAGAGCTACACCACTGTGTTTACTTCATATGGTACCCAACTGATGTTCCCTTTTTTATTGTCTGCACGAAAGCAAGAATAGACAACTATGGAAAAGGAACACCACGAATAGGAAAATGACCTGGAAAAGAGAAAACCTCATTTGTGAATTTTTTTATGTGAGTAGAAGCAAGGAAGAACAGACTTTTCTGTGGTGGCAGAAAAAATAAATAAGTGGCTTAAGCTCAAGAAAATCTCCTAGGATCTCTTTATTTTCTTTAGAATAAAGAGATAAAAATTCTTAGAATACAGATAAGAGGGATGCCTGGGTGGCTCAGTGGTTGAGCAACTGCCTTCAGCTCAGGTCATGATCCTGGGGTCCCGGGATCAAGTCTGGCACCCAGCTCCCTGCGGGGAGCCTGCTTCTCCCTCTGCCTATGTCTCTGCCTCTCTCTGTGTCTCTCATGAATAAATAAATAAAATCCTAAAAAAAAAAAAACAGATAAGAGACATAAAAGGTAGTATTTGCTATCCAAAAAATATATATAATAGCTATTTCAGAATAGTTATTATATACACTATTTCAGGGAACAGAAAAGCCAGAACTGTAGCATTCAGCAATTTAGCATAGATTTTATGAGAACAGACATCAGACTCAAGAGATACCCAGGCTTGATTCTGAGCACAGGTGCTTATCATGATGTAAAGTTGGACAATTTCCTTAACCTCTCTGTTTCAGTTTTTTGGTTTTATAAAATGAGTTATAATAATAGAATAGACTTTTATAGGGTAGTTGGGAAAATCATGTGAGGTGATGTTCATAAAATAATTTGCATGAGGCTAATACATAAGAATCACTCAATAAATGTCACTGGTTAGGGGTTGAATTGTGTCCCCTCCAAAATTCATACATTAATGTCCCAATCCCTTGTATCTCAGGACATGATTATATTTGGAGATAGGGCCTTTAAAAAGGCAATTAAGAAAAAAAAAAGGCAATTAAGTTAAAATGAGACCATTGGAGTGGGCCTAAATCCAACCGAACTGGTGCTGTTATAAGAAGAGGAAGTTTGGCCACACCAACACCAGGATGCATGCAGACAGAGGAGAGGCCATGTAAGGACACAGCAAGAAGGTCACCATCTGCAAGTCAAGGAGAGAGGCCTCAAGAGAGACACCTTGACCTTGGACTTCTAGCCTCTAGAACTGTGAGAAAATAAGTCTCCAGTTTAAGTCCCTAGCCTGTTTTGTTATGGCAGCACTAGCAAACAAATACATTCTCTATTGTTATGGGTTTTTTTTTTTGTAAATGCAGATGAAAAGCTGGGGACCCCATTGGGCTGTTAGGGTTAGGGTTTTCCATACCTACAAAGTCTTCCAAACCAAATGTACGGGGGAATCCAAAGTCCACATTCCTTTTCCACCCTGTCACATTGGCCAAGGCACTGCAGAGACCCTCACTATATGACTCAAGGGGTTTCTGGTTTCAGTGCAGGGCATGTATCTCTTTAGAGATCAGCTGACAGTTGCTATGAGTCAACAGCAGGGAAGTCCCTGAGATTCGAAGACCTGCTTCCTTCCCCAGTCCCTAGCTCATTTGGGCATGCTGAGAGCATGTCCCCCAAAATAATGAGGCTCTTCCTTGATTTGCAAATCATCACACTTGCTCCTTTTGAAGGTCAGAAGGTCAGATTCCCACCAAAAGCTGCCACAGATGTGGTTTTAAAATAGTCCCTTCAGAAGCCCACAATTAAAGCCTAATTACACATCCTTGCCAATTAGTGAAGGAGTTGCCCTTTCTAGTTATGGCAAAGTCCCCAAAATTCCATAGTCTGAAAAAAAAAAAGTTGTTTGCTCTTCCCTTCTCTCCCAGCAACCCACTCTTTCTTCAATGGCAGAGACCTCAGGAACCTCTGGCATTATCTGTAACCTTTGAAAAGTTGCTTAACCTCTGATCCTGATGAATTACCTATAGGCTGGTACTAACAACACCTGTCATTTGAAGGATCAAATAAGATCACTCATTCATTCATTCAACCAATATTTATTTATTTATTTTTAAAGATTTTATTTATTTATTCATGAGAGACCCAGAGAAAGAGGCAGAGACATAGGCAGAGGGAGAAGCAGGCTCCATGCAGGGAGCCCCGATACAGGACTCGATTCCAGGACCCTGGGATCATGCCCTGAGCTGAAGGCAGAGGCTAAACCACGGAGCCACCCAGGTGCCTCACAACTGATATTTATTGAGTTACCTAGGGATCCCTGGGTGGTGCAGTGGTTTGGTGCCTGCCTTTGGCCCAGGGTGCGATCCTGGAGACCCGGGATCGAATCCCACGTCGGGCTCTCGGTGCATGGAGCCTGCTTCTCCCTCTGCCTATGTCTCTGCCTCTCTCTCTCTTACTGTGTGCCTATCATAAATAAATAAAATTTAAAAAAAAATTTATTGAGTTACCTACTCTACACTCAATTCTTTCATTCAACAAACATTTACTGAATATTTGCTTCCTAGCAGCCCCATGGGGATACAGCAATGAGTAATATCTAGGACGTCTCAGCTCCCACCAAGCTTACCTCCTGGGAGGGAGACAAAGAACAAGCAGACAGATCAGTGAGATAACTTCCGATGGTGACTTGATAAACAACAATAAATGCAGGAAGGAAATGGGAAATAACAAGGTGCAAATAAGAGGTGGTATGTCCTAGTAGGGTTCTCAGAGGTCTGAATAAGTTGGGACATGGGAGGACCTGGGGAAAGAATGTGTCACCAAAGGAAACCACAGGGGCAGAGGCTCTGGAAGATGTATTTAAGGAATAGGGAGGAGCAGAAGGGCAGAGGAAGTGAGGGGGTAGAGGTCCAGGTGAGACTGGAGAGATGGGCAGAGGCTGGTTCACATAGGATCTTTCAGGACACAGTGGAAAGCATGGAAAGTTTTTCTGGTCCACACAGACCGAAGAGCTACACCACAGTAACTGAACTTGAGTTAAGGCAGAGAGTGGGTGTTTGAAGATGGGGTCTGAGATCAAGCAGGTCCTCTTTGGCTGGGGTCAGAAGTTCAGATTTAATTCAGGTTGTAACACAGTAGTTCTTTTTTTTAAGTTTGGGTTTTGTTGTTGTTTTTTTTTTTTTTTTTTTTTTTTAATAATCTCTAAGCCCAACATGGGGCTGGAACCTACAGAGTTGCATACTCTACCAACTGAGCCAGCCAGGAGCCCCACTAATGCATTGGTTCTTAACATTGACTACACACTGGAATCACCTAGGAAGCTTTAAATAAATGCTGACGTCCGGGCTCCACCTTCACCAATTCTGGGGTGCACCCTGGCATTTAGAGTTTTTTTTTCCTGAGAGAGAGAGAGAGAGCACACAAGCCAGAGGGAGGGACAGAGCGAGAGGGAGACAGAGTCTTAAGAAGGCTCCATGCTAGGAGTGGAACTCAATCTCATGATCCTGAGATCGTGACCTTAGCTGAGATCATGACCTGAACTGAAATCCAGAGGCAAACACTTAACTGACTGAGCCACCCAGGCACCCTGGGGATTTTTTAAAGTCCTCCAATGACTCTAATGGCCAGCCAAGGTTGAGAAGCCACTGCAGGAGGCTTTTAAGCAGAAGGTGACGTGATATCAATTTTCTTTATGAGAGATACACTGGCTGCCACCTAAATTCATGATGCTCCCACAGTGGTGCCCAGGACATAGTTGATATTTGATGTTTTCTTCCTTCCCTCCTTTCAATCATTCAGAAATTGGGAATTGCTGAACATTGCAGAGAGAGGCAGAGAGAGAGAGCCCAACCAGATACCAAGAGGGAAGTATCTCAGCGAATCTGCCTCCAGCTAGTGACTGTTTTTTTACCTTCTTCTGTTCTTGGAGTTGTCCATTTATCTCCCACTTCCAGACCTGGAGCCTCACCTCCTGTTTTTCAGACCCAAACTTCACATCGTCTTTGACAGCCCTGAGGACCCCTCCACCCAGCACTCCCCCAAGCAGAGTAGCTCCGAGGCACACTCAGAAGCAACTTGGTGAGTTTATTTTGATGAAATACAATAATTATCATGCTTAGCAGCTGTTGCCATTTAAAATAAGAAAAACCTGGGCTTGAATTTAAACTGTTTGGTAAAGCATGTGCCCCGCCAATCTGGTCCAACGAAATCAGACATTATGAAATCCACAGAAAAACTGGAGCTTGTTACAGGAAGTTAAGATGCAAATCATATTTTGTTTCAAATGAGCCCGATGAATGCATAATTTTCCACAAAGAAATACTTTTGTGTCAGGATCCTTCTGCCAAGAATCGAAGTTTTGGGGCTGCAGCTGTTAGCAGTGTCTGATTGTCCATTTCAAACTGCAGGCAGTTCTGCTTTTCTAAGGAGGATTTGGAGCAAAGACAGGAAGAGGACAGAGCTGTGCTCATCAATTGTCTTCCAGAATATTCTCTGTGAGCTCCGCCTATGCTTCCCAGATGATCATACTTAACCCTCAGAATCTGTAGAGACTGATCCCCAAAGGTGAATCAATAGCTATTCCCAACGTACTATTCACCCATAAAGGGATTTTTCCCCCTTCCCTCCAGCACCTTCTCTCTCTGAGTATTAATTCCATCTGCCAGTAGTCTTTTGATTTCAAGTGGAAGAAACCCAATTCAAATGAAATAAATCACAAAGAAAGGCAGGAGGGGAATTATTTGTTCTTTTACCTGGAAAGTCCAAACATGATCTGCCTTCAGATACCCTGGATGCAGGTAGAGGGCTGGACAGGAGAAGAAATTGGTCTCATACAAGAGAAAGAATTAATGTGCAAAACCGCGGACCCTGCATTTGTTATCACGAATTTGCAAGGTACCACTTTTCAAGTTGTGTGATTTTTCTCCAGATGTAGGTGCAGAAATGACTGAGTAAAGAATTTGGACTATTTTGGACTCAGCAGGGATGATAAAAAGATAGAATCAAGAAGTATAAGGGAAATGAGCATTCAGATGACCATCCCTGAAACAGATCTGCATGGAGAAGGGAGCAAAGTAGATCAGACAGGGCCCAGTGGACAGCAAAGAATGTTGCACTGGACATCACTATAGAGCAGAAGGTCAGGTGTTGTAAGAGGAATGGGAACAAAAGTCCTGGAAGGATATGTGATGATGAACACTAAGAGGTATGCTAAGGACAAATCATGTGATAAGTATTTACAACCTCCCACCCATCCCCACCCCCACTTTCCAAGGAATTTTTTGAATGTCTGATCTGCTGGGATAGGGCTATGGATAAAGATGCGGAACATATGAAAAGTCGTCCACAAGGGCATTTTAGAAAGACAGAGATCCAACTTGAGGCAGAGAAGAAAAAGATGATGGGAGGAGGAAGCAAAGAGGGGAAGGGGGCAAAGGAGACAATTAAGTAGGCTAGGAGTTTTGAGCAGGATAGAAGGAGCAGAAATAAGGAACGGTCCTAAGATTGAGATTTTGGGGAGAGAGATGATAAAGGCCATTGTTAGGAAGTCTTCTCATATATCCTGTAATGAAACTTTCCCCTCTGACATTGTCTCAAGACCCCTTTAATAAAAACTCAGAGTATTTTTCATGGCTCTTTGGAGATGTAGCATTTTTTTATTTGTGATACCAGGCTAAGACTTGAGAAAACATGGTTTTCCTGTATTTGAGGTGAGATCGCAAGCTTTGAGATTTTTAACATAGAACCTATGTGACCCCAGGCTGGAGCTGTGGAAAAGGGCTGCAGTGAGGTGGAGGTAAAAATCAAAAGAATCAAGGTCAAAGGAATTTTAAACTAGAATTCCAGATGAACGATGCAGGTGACTGTCAGTATTTGACTTGAACATGAAGACAGTGGGGCAGGTCCCAAAGTCTTCAATGAACAAAGTGGAGGATCTAGGAGGCAAGTGAGTGACAGCAATGAGATGGAGGATGTAGTATAATCAGATGGCAGGAGCGGGGACATTTAAACACCATGGAGAGAGCACTAGGGAAAGGCTCCAACAACCCCCCACCCTTCTCACCCCGAATTAACAGGGTGTACTTAATGAGCAACCAATATTTGCAAGAGCCACAAGGGGAAGTGATATCCTGGAAAGAGAGTCATTTGCAGTGAAAACAGGTTCATGGAGTTGTGGAAGATGTCTTCCTTGGAACTGAGCACAGGGTGAAGAGTTAAGATGGAAGGGAGTGATGGGGAATTTGGATCAGCAAAGCAGAATTAGAGTTGGCTTTTCACATGGTTGGCTCTTTCTCAGTATGCAGTTTACCTCCTTGACCCTGCTGCCTAAAGGAGCCCTGCCTCCCCAGGTGCTATACAGCATTTCTCCCTTTATATTTTCTTCCTATTACTTAATATTGAATGAATGAATAAATGAATGGTCTGGCTCCCCAGTCAGCAGCCTCCATCTCCACTGAACTGTAAACTCCATGAAAATAGGGAGCTTGCCTATTTATTGACTGCCTTATCCCCAGTGCCTGGCACTTGGTAAACACTCAATAAATATATGTTAAATCAGTTAGTTAATGAATGGATGAATGAGTGGCTGCCCTATGAGGTTGAGAGGATAGAAGAGCACAGATGTCCACAAAGCTCTCACATTTGGTGTAGTGCTAGGATGAAGGGGTGTATACCTGGTGTGCCCGGAGTCTCCCTCTTGACTCCTGGGGACAGATCTCTCCTGGCCTTGTTGCTGTGTCCTGGGAAGTAAATCTTAAGGAGAGATACTTGCTTAAATCCACAGTCGTGCATTGGGATTTGTTAGCTCCAAGTTCTAGCCTAAAAATACTCCTCTCTGATATCAAGGACAAAATTTATAAACATGAAAGTGGTTATTATGGTTTAATCACAGGCTTGGTGGTAGTGACTCTTGGCAATCTCTCTGGGGTATTAACAAGAACAGAGTAAATATGTCATGTAGGCGGTATTTTTAGTCTCACCCACCCTTCCAACCCAAATGGGAACATCCCTGCAGAAGATCCTTGTGACTCCCTGAGCCCCACCCCAGCCCTCGCGGCCCAGAAAACATAGTCATGGGGGCTACGGTGGCAGCCACCAAACAAAATGAGGAAGACAGGTGGGTGGCTTTGCCTGAGGAAGGCAGCTCACTCCTTGTCAAATGGGCACCTGAGTCCTGGCCCCCGGGTCAGCAATCAACCTATGCTTCCTAATTTCTGTGGCCAACTCCCATACCTGTACCCCAGAATGAGGCTTGGCTGAAAGTCAAATGTGTCCCGTGGGAATGAGAAGGCCTATTCTGTGAACTTCTTCCCCAGGATTGACAGCTTCAAAAAAAATTGACAGATAATCCCCAACTGAGCCACAAATCCAACCAAAAGAGTTTCCCAAATTACATCTTTTCTTAAGGTTTTGGACATGAAGTTTACACTCCATTCTGAAGTTGGGCTCCACAGCAGGCACCACACAGACATTAGACAGGTTGTTATCAGAGTCAACAACCGGGATTAGACCTTCTCTCCCCACACCCCTTGCAAGGCAGGTGGGATTCTGAACCTGGCCAGCTCCCTCCAGAGCCCAGGCCCTTACACAAGATGGGGTTCTATCTGAGCAGCCCATCTACTCTCCCCAGGAGTTTATGTTGTATGGAAGATGCTGTTTTGGGCTCTACGGCAATATTGACCTCACTTCTGTTTGCTTTTATTGGGAACACACTTCTCTCACTTGAAGAACATGGGGTTCAATGGAGCTGACTCTGGCTTCAGCTCCAGAGGTGGCCTGTGACCAGTCCTCACCTACCGTTTCCCTAGCCCCAGAGCGATCAGTAGGATTGGTCCTGGGATGGCCCTATGGTTCTAAAAGAGACCATACAGATCCCTGAGGCCACCAGCTTTACTGATTTGCCGTAAGGTTTTGCTGGGAGACACTTACCTCTGTGGGTGTCTGTTTATAAACATTACACATCGTCAAAGCTACTCACCCTGTGACCAGGGCCATATCAGCATCACCTATAAGTTTGATAGAGATGCAGATTCTGGGATCCCTGGGTGGCGCAGCGGTTTGGCGCCTGCCTTTGGCCCAGGGCGCGATCCTGGAGACCCGGGATCGAATCCCACGTCGGGCTCCCGGTGCATGGAGCCTGTTTCTCCCTCTGCCTGTGTCTCTGCCTCTCTCTCTCTCACTGTGTGCCTATCATAAATAAATAAAAAAAAAATTAAAAAAAAAGAGATGCAGATTCTTAGGCCCTACCCAGACCATCTCTATCTGAATTTCTAGGGGAGGTGACCAGAAATGATATGCTTTAGAGAATCCTCCAAGAGAGTCTGATACTCACTGAAGTTTGGGAAGCATTGGATAAGTCAGTTTCTGAGTCTATGCATCTGTCAACCATTTATAAAGAAAATCAGGAAAAATAGATAAGGGGGGCGCCTGGGGGGCTCAGTTGGTGGAGCGTCTGACTGTGGCTCAGGTCACGATCCCAGGGTCCTGGGATGGAGCCCCAAATAGGGCTCCCCATTCAGCAGGGAGTCTGCTTCTACTTCTGCCCCTCCCCTTCCCCATAGTTGCTCAATCTCTCTCTCAAATAAGTGAATAAATTTTTTAAGTATATATATATATATATATATATATATATATATATATATATATATATTTAAAAAAACAGATAAGGAAAGCTCCATCATCATCCATCATTCTGTCTCCCTCTTTGTTTTTTTTTTCCCTTCCAATTTTGGTTACTACCATCTTCTACTCTCCTCACAGAGGCCCTCCCACGCCACTCCGGGGCAGCAGGAAGTGTGTGGAGAGCCTCATGCCCTTTCTGCGTTGCTGCCACCAAGCCAGCATTCCTACGCTCTGGCTGTCACAGCGTGCCAGCACCCCCGAAAGATGGAGAATGCAAGCAGGAGTCGCATCTGCTAGTTCACAGCTCTCTCCTTGGCTCCTACAACAGTGCCTGGTGTCTGGCTGGCCCCCAGTAAGTATTTGCTGAGTGAATGACCATGAGGTCTGCTTCGCCAAGGCCCCTGGGGTGCGACAGAGAAATTCCCAGACCTGTCTTGGAGTCTGTATTAGCCTGCCTGGGCTGCTATAACAAAAATTGATAGACTACATGGCTCAAACAATAGAAATTTATTTTCCCACCGTTTTGGAGGCTAGGAAGCCCAAAGTCAAGGTCCAGCAGGCTCAATTTCTGGTGAGGGGTCTTTCTGGGGCGAAGACAGTCACTGCTTGCTATTTTCTCACATGGCTTTTTCCCGGTTTGTGTACATGTTGACAGAGGAAGCAAGTTCTTCAGTGTCTCTCTCTTTTCTTTTTTTTTTTTTTTAAGATTTTATTTATTTATTCATGAGAGACACAGAGAGAGAGAGAGGCAAAGACACAGACAGAGACAGAGGGAGAAGCAGGCTCTGTGCAGGAAGCCTGACGTGGGACTCGATCCCGGGTCTCCATGATCACACCCTGGGCTGCAGGCGGCGCTAAACCGCTGCGCCACAGGGGCTGCCCTCCAGTGTCTCTTCTTATGACATGAATCTTACTGGATCAGACCCCTGCCCTTATGATCTCATTTAACCTTATACTATGTTTTTATTAATTTTTAATTTTTTTTCTTTTTTCCCCATTTTTTACTTCCTTTCTCTTCTTTTTTTCCTCCCTTGTCATCTAACCTTAATTACTTCCTTATTACAAATGTAGCCATACTGGGATTAGGACTCCAGCATGCAAATTTCAGGAAGGGCATGAGCATTCGGTCTCTAGCAGAATCCTATTAATTTCCCTATTCCACCTCAAAAGCCCACACCTCTGCCTCATTCTGCTGTTCTCTTCTTCCCTTCACCTCTGCCCCAGAACAAGGCAGTTTTATCTTCTTTACAGCAGGAAAAATTGACTAAGCAAATCAACTTCTAAACTACGGTATAGACTGTGATCTCAGCCCAGGAATCTCAAATGCCAGAAGGGAGCTGTGACCCTGTCCCTCAAGGCAACAGGTGCTTTTTTTCTGGTTGTCCAGATGGAAGAGGCTGAGGGAGAGCTACAAGAGGGGGAAGAAACATCAGAGCAGAATAGTACCCCTATATATAAATAATCAAAATATAAAATGTGGAATAAGCAGTGCAAGTAGATGATTTTTATCCATGTAAGTTAGGAGGAAAAAACAAAGAAAACGAAATTTAAAATGAGAATGATCATGCTATGTAAAAGCAAAAACAATCTGCAGAACATCAAGAATGGTGTGATCTCATTTTTATTAAAATAAATGAATATGTGAGCGGTAATACATTTATGTGATATATCAGTTTAGAGGGAAAAAAAACAAAACCTGAATGGAGCAGATACTCAACCGTTCACAGTGGATACCTCTAGGGAATGTAATTAGAGAGGGAGGATTTTTACTTTTTATTTTATACACGTCTGCATTTAAATAAGTCTATTAAATGTTGCATGTGAATAATGGAATGCTAAAATGGGATGAGAGAGACAATGGAAAGAAAAGACTCCACACCTAAGATACAATGATTCTTTTATTAAGATTCCAGTAAAACAAGGCTGAGATTTTTTAAAAGGCAAGGACAGACATGGTTTGAGATAAAAGAATGAAAATCGATGTGAAGAAATTATAACAATCACACATGCAAAGTTAAAAAAGAAGAAGAAGAAGAAGGAAAAGAGACATCTTACAAAAAGTTAAAGATGTAACAATGAGGAAAGCAGTATAATCTATATTGAAAAAAAATGTGTAGGAGAAAATAAAAAAAATTAAAAAAAAACCAAAGACCAAAGGTGAGAGGCATAGAAGGCCAAGGAAGAAATTGCTATAAGTAACTAAGGGTAGGAGGGTTTGGATGGCTCAGGTCATGATCTCAGGGTCTTGGGATCAAGCCGTGAGTGGGGCTCCCTCCTCAGTGGGGAGTCTGCTTCTCCCTCTCCCTCCGCCTATCTGCCCCTCTACCCCACTCGTTTCTCTAAAATAAGTAAATAAAATCCTAAAAAAAAAAAAAAAAAAAGAATCAGCTAAGGGTTGAAGCTTTGTTGTCATGAATTTTGTCTGGCTTTCCTACTGACCCATCTCCTGCCAGGATTACTTTGTCCCAAAATACCCTCAGCCCCTTCTACCTCCACCTCACAATCTCTGAGTTTCCAAATTCTGTCTCCTGTTGACTTGTTGAGCACCTCCTTGTGAACACAGGATGTGGCTCCTTAAATCAACAACAACAAAAAAAGGGGGTTGAGCTAGTGGATCCTGAGCCAGAGAAGATGCACTTCTGTCCTTTGCAGTCTTAGCTCTCAGAGGAAATGAGCACTCACCCTCCCTGGGGCAAAGCAGAATGAGTTGAAATCCCAGGCAAATGACCTTTCTGCACTTCCATTTTTGTAAAGTAGGGGAAGTAAGAACCTACCTCTTAGAACAGTTAGGAGAACTGAACACATAAAGAGCATTAGAAACCACTCACATAAGACCAATGCTCTCCTTTTGTAAAGAGTAGAATATGGTTTGAAGATTTCTCCACCAGCACACAGCAAGAATGTAGAGAGTTTATATTGAACTCTATGTCCTCTCTCTCCAGGGATTTTTTTCATTATGCTAGCTTGGTTTGGGGATTACATTTTGTGTTTGTTTGATGTCCTCACGGGACGTTTTTGGTTATACGCCTTCAGAGTTTCCAAGGAGCAGAGCTTTTCAGAGAGAGGCTGTCACTTGTGCCCCAAAAGTATACACAGTAGGATCAGCTGAGCCCCTTGATGCCAGGACAGAAGTTCAGCTTTCATTCAAAGGGCTTTTCCGGGGGCACCTGGGTTGCTCAGTGGTTGAGTGTCTGCCTTTGGCTCATGTCATGATCCCAGGGTTCTGGGATCAAGTCCTATATTAGGCTCCTTGCAGGGAGTCTGCTTCTCCCTCTGCCTATGTTCTGCCTTTCTCTCTGTGTCTCTCATGAATAAATAAATAAAATATTTTTTAAAAGACAACAACAACAAAGACAACAACAACAACAACAACAACAAAAAAGACAAAAACAAAGGGCTTTTCCAACATTAAAGAGAGGAAGACTCATGCGTCCTCCCCTGGGGAGGGGAGAGCACCTCACCTTTCATTTTGCTGTCATCCCTGTTGCCATATTGGAAGACAGATTCAAAGGTTAGAAGGGCAATGTAATAGAGCTGTCTTTTTGTAAAATGAGTTGAAATGATATTTTTGGCATATTGGGTTGCCAAAAATGGACCAAATAGCCATTAAGCAATCAGGAACTGCCACCTGCCTACCCATGGCCGCTAGAAACCCTCTTCATGCCTGGCCTCACAGCCAAGAATGGAATTAACATGGAAGAAAGCGGAACCAAGAGATGGAGAGTGTGAGATGCTGGAGATGGAGAGTGTGAGAAACTTGATGATGCCCCTTCTGAGTCACCAGAGCCAGATACTACTGAACTCTTCCATTACATGAGCCCGTATCTTGCTTTGAAGCCATTTTGCTTGGTACCTGCCTGCTTCGTAGAAAAGGTATTATAAATATACCTACCCTTTGCCAACTCTTCCTGAAAGGCTTTCAGGGTAAATTTCCCTGCCTCAACAGTGCCTTCCCCACCCAATACCCAATGTCTCATCTTAGAGATAAATGGGGATAAAATCTCAGTGGTTTCCAGCATCATCTTTGGGGGTATCCTAAAGGCCAGCAGTGTCATCAGGTCATCATGGTACCATTCAGCTATTGATTTACCAACCATAATGAGAAGGGGACTTCAGGTGCTAGGGGTAGTAGTTAGATATTGCATTAGAATTTAAATAATGGTAGGCAAAGTCTCCAAAATATAATTGGCCAGGCAGGGGTCCACCTTCACAGGTTGTTCCTCATCCAATGGATGGTTAGCACCATCTATCAAATGACAGGACACTTCCTTCTTTATTTTTTTATTTTTTTTTATTTTTTTTAAGATTTTATTTATTTATTCATGAGAGACAGAGAGAGGGAGAGAGAGAGGCAGAGACACAGGACACAGGCAGAGGGAGAAGCAGGCTCCATGCAGGGAGCCCGACGTGGGACTTGATCCTGGATCTCCAGGATCACACCCTAGCTTGAAGGCGGTGCTAAACCGCTGGGCCACTGGAGCTGCCCCATTTATTTTTTTTTAAATATTTTATTTATTTATTTGGGAGAGAGAGAGTGAGCTGGGGGAGGAGCAGAGGGAAAGGGAGAAGCAGACTCCCCACTGAGCAGGGAGACTAGTGCAGGGCTGGATCCCAGGGGTACTGGGATCATGACCTGAGCTGAAGGCAGACTGAGCCACCCAGGCACTCAAGACACTTCCTTCTTGTGTGTCTCTAAGAGTTCTCAAAATGAGCCAGGTCTCTCATGGAAGATAGGCTTCCTCATGCAGCCTGGGAGTCACTTTGCACCAGCTCTAGCCCCCTTCATTCCCTGTGTCTTTGTTGTCATTGCTTGGCCAGCACAAGCCCTAGTACATGGTACTGTTAACAGAGTGCTCAGCCATCTGTGCAGTGGCCTGCCCACTCTTCACCAACATGCCACTCTCTTTGGTGCATGGCCACTTATGTGTCTTGCTATTTTCCATGGCCTCTGTGGTTCTCCATTACCTGTATCTCTCTCTGGCTGGTAGGAAAATGCCTGTCCCTCCAACATCCAGACTTTTCCAAGATGGGTCATCTTCACTGAGAGGTTCAGGCTCTTGATGGCATCCTTATTCCAATTTACTGTCCAATGCCTCTGGAAGATCCCCCCATTATGGTGACTCAGGCCACAGGTGAGGCAGTTCCTCTAATTCCACCAGGCCTTTCCTTCTCAGACAGCATGAGCCTCTAGCCTGGCCTACACCCAGAATCCCTGCTCCCTCAACTTCCTGACCCTTCCACAGAGCCCAGACCCTAAAAAATTGTGCCTCTCTGAATCTGGAGATGGATGTTGGGGAGGAAAAAATTTTTTCTATGCTGCAAAGACTCTTCTGGCTGGTCTATAAATTAAAT